GATTTTTGTGTGTGTGTGTGTGTGTGTGTGTGTGTGTGTGTGTGTGTGTGTGTGTGTGTGTGTGTGTGTGTGTGTGAAAAATAGATATTCTTGTGGCAAATGTCATCTAAATATAGATACAGTGGAAATGCAGAACATCAGACATTATGAATTTATTTAAAAAAAACGGCAGATAATTGACATGGTATCAGTATATTGTGCATAATAATTTGTCTGTATCTAACATTTTGTTGCACAAATCTTAAAACTGAATAATAACATTTAAAAACTTTAAAAATAATAATATAATATAATATAAGAGCATGAACAATATGAAATATGAATGTAGGTTTCAATAAATCTCTCCAGCCCTTCTAGAATATAACCTGAATAGTAACAAACTTTGGGTTGGCATCAACTTGCCATTGCACTAGAGCAACAATGAGGAGTGAAAACAATCAAACGAACAAACAAAAAGACATCTATTTACAACTGCAGGAGTGATAATTGCTGTTACAGGGAATAAGATGTTCTTTACTATTAGACAATGATCAATTATTTCCAGAGGAAAGCCCAAACCAACGAAAATTAGATGTGTTGTGTTGGCGTATCTGCATGGTGTGGATGATGATGGTGTTGTGATATGTTGTGTTGTTTGCACGGCTTGTCTAGCACAGTTGTTTTAATGCAACTAATGAAAGCGTTCATCATGATAATTGCTGTGGCGTTTGCTCCTGTATGTGCGTGAGTCTGAGGATTCAAGCGCCTCGCATCTCTCTGTGCTGCTTACTGTCTAGTCACAACACTTCAGTGAAAGAAAGCACACAGGTTGTCATTACTTACTTTAATTACATATTTGTAGTCTTATTACGAATGATTAATCGGTGCAAGTTATTTCAAATCAAAAAGTGCTTGTTACTGCAATTTTTCATCAAAATACAACAACTTGCTCTGCCTCTGAAATGTTCTTTTCATCATCTGACATCAAGCCATTTTAATTTTCACCCACTCTACTCCAAACACCTCTCAACAATTTGCACAATACAATCACTACCCAGTGGATAAAATCGAGTCTCACCCAATATATTTTTTCTCATTTGATCATCCAGATTCACTCTGAAATATATTACATTACCAGTAAAATGCCTTACACACAACTTCAAGCTCATGTATTGATTCTCACGCAGCTGGAAATAAGACACACATAAACATCATGACAACAGCAAAGTTTAGGGCTGGCGCACATTTCATTTACACAAGAACCAAAGCCTAAAACCTAAGCTTTCCTAAAACTTTTCTATTATTATTGTGCTGACATGCACCTAAGAACTGCCATTTCCTTAAGGACATGCAAATCTAGTTATACTGTATCTAGAATGATGTCAAGTAAAATAGCCAGCAGGTAAAATGTGCTATATAAGGTTGGTGAGTCACATTTCTTTAAGATTAAATATCCAAACACTACAAACTATTCTAAACAGTTGCCACAATTGTATTGGACATTCATAAAATGCGCAGGACAAATCATTTTACAAAGGACAGAAAGGAAAACGTAAGATACCCTGACACTATAACAGCAATTCATTTCACATATCATTCTTTGTTCACAATGGTGGTTTGAATCACTGGCCTATTTTACTGTAGCTGAACATAGTGGCGTGGACAGGCAAGTTAAGAGACTTTTGACATTTAAATATCTTTTGGGCTTAAAAAGTTGTTTTTTTGTTACATATTCTAACATAAAATATCTCAATTGCAGAAGTATGGAGACATGAAGAAAAAAGTAAAATTCACTTTAAACTTCAAATTCATGTATAAATTAAAATATCGCAATGCAGTGTTTATGAAAAGGCTGAGAAACATACATCTAAGACCACCTGCGGACAACACATGAAAGCATAACTTAATTCATGGACAGGAAGGCATTAATAAATTATTGCATAATATCTACGGATGCTGAATAATACAGCACACAAAGAAAGATATGCCTGGTTATGGCACGCCACTTTAACATTTAATTACTTTTTAATAATAAGTTTGAACTATAAAATAGGTATTCTGACTAGTTCATGAGATATGGCAAGTAAACTATTAAATGCAGCTAGTAAAACTTAAAAAGATACCAGTAACAACTGGAATAGAATCGGAAGAAAAGAGTTCACATCTTCATGAAACTAAATGGCAAACATATGTAATTTGCTACCAGGATAGAAAACATACTGAATTAATGAATAACTAGACTAATTAGAAAGATACTAATTACTACAAGAATGTATACTAAAAAAAATAGTTACTAGGGAAAGAAAAATATATTGGAATACTTCAAATAAGTAGTCCATAAAAATAGATATCAGTTCGTTTAAAGAAAAGACGGCTTGCCATAATCTGATCGCTTATCGCTATTGTGATCTAAAAGTCACATTAGTAGAAACAATCGATATCACCAGCCATATCAACTACTACAAAGTCTACAGCTCTACTAAATCTCTACAATTTATCACATTTGACAGGAGCTGCAAAAACATCACTCACAAGCACGAGGAGGAAACTTACCTAAGAGCAGGACACGCGCGCTGGCAGACATCACGTCTCCGGACTGAGAATCCTACAGAAACGTCTCCTCTGCTCCTCAAAACGAGCACATTGGGTCATTGAAATGGTCTCTCATTTTTGTTCTGACCATGAACGGAGCGATATCACCGGCTGAGACCATCAAAAGCATCTCCAAACGTCCCGAGGCTCCTTCAAAAACGGCCGTTTCCTCCGAAGAGAAGTTCTCATTGACTTCAACTAGGATGCGAATCTACGATCTCCGTTCTCTCCTCCGCCTCTTGCTCTGTGTAGGAAGGAACCACAGGCTGGTAAAGGTGTGTGAGGGGATGGGGAGAGCTCTGCAGTTAAAGGAGAACACTTTCCTTTGCGTATTTCCTTAGATGACCATTGGATGCGAGTCTCTTTACTGCTCCTGCAATGAAACGATTGTACTTTATAATAACCAAACTTTATAATAACCAAAATTTTATTAAAAGCCATTAACAAGCATTGCGCTTAACGGAGCATTAACCATTGCATATTCAAATTAATATAGCCTATAAATAAAAACGTGAAGCTAAATTTAATGACATTTTAAATTAATTAAGGATATAAGAACTATAGGCTATGCTGCTAACACAGTAGTCAATTAAACATGTTATAGTCTAAAATGTTAGGCCGATCAGTTGAATAAATAAAGATACAAATGGATTTTAAGGGAAAGAGTAGTTAATTTGGCGGGTCATATCTATAGTTATATGCCACATTACTGTAATGTAACGTGGCAATTAAAGAAATACTTCACCTGAAAATGTAAATTCAAGTTCCAAACAGTAAAACACCATAAACGTAGTCCATATTGCTTCATATTCTAAACCTAGACATGTTATAGTTATCTGTGAATAACAACATGAAAATTAAGACATAGGCTATTTACTCATAATCTCTTTGACGTTTTTGGCTGCAAATCATTTTCGATCTCGGATGTCACGAGATCAACAATTCGCAATAGATCACAGATGTGGACACTATGAACTGTCCTGGGTAAATATTATTTTAATGAAATCTAGAATATTCCACAGAAAAACATATCAGAAATAACATGAAGGATGGTATGACAGTTTTTCTTTTAGATTAGTTTTATTAGATTAGATTAGATTCAACTTGATTGTGTCTGAAGTGCAAGTACAAGGCTAATGAAATGCAGTTAGCATCTAACCAGATGTGCAAATAGCCAAGAGAAGTATTCATTTAAAGACATTTTATTTGAATTTTTTTGGTTAAGTATTCGTTTAAGGACATTTAGCATCTGTTAGTAAAATGTGAAAGGTGGTGTACAGATCTGTTTTAATAAAATTAAAAATAAATAAATAAACCCACTTCTACCACAAATAGCTAGATATGAAGATTCATAGATTTAATATGTCACACCTGCAACTCGAATGAAAGAGTAAAGGTGGTGCAGTTACCATTCTTTGTCAAATTTCCTTTTTTAATTCTTATTTGTATTTTATTTTTAATAAATAGTTT